CTAGAGCTGGATGTTTGGGGCACTTCTAATATGCCAATTTAATTACGGATTGTTAAATCAAAAGTGCATTGGCAGCTCTTGTACTGTATAATTGGATTTTCTGTAGCAATACTAGATAAAAGGCAGGTTTAAACAATGCAATCAGATATCTCACAGAGAGAGACACCAGACGAGTTGCAGTGTTGTTGCCTGGTTCGTCTCTCTCTCTCTCTCTCCCTCTCTGTCATCTGGCGCCGAGTTATAAATATGTAATGATGTTTAACGCTGGAGTGAAAAAAAGATTTGTCTGAGTCTGTAGAACTGCAGTTTTTCATAGTGTGTTATGTTGGATGGGAAGGACGTTCAAGGCAATTTTTACATCATCACAACAACAACAACAAAGCTGAAATGTAGTCATTTTGGTTTTACTGTTTGTTATTAATTCACATATACATATGAATTACCCGAAGAGCCATACTTCAGAAATCTTTCAAATCTCATCATCCGTACAACACCCCTTTCCAAAAAATATATAAAGTCTCAAAACTGTATCAGCTCAATTTCCAAAATCTTTCTAGCAGACCAGTGTTGTTTTCCACCAGCTCAAATCCTGAGAAAGAACCTGGCACCCAGATACGAGATGACACATTTCTGAGCTCCCCTACTGCTTGTTTAACTCCTAGTAAGAACAATCCTCTGTTCCACGGGCCCAAGGTGACAAGAGCAGCTTGTGAGAGGGATTGCTATCGACCCAAATGAATATGCTTACATCTGGCAATCGCAGCTTGACAGATCACCTAATTAAAATCACTAATGATCTGTTTTTCTCCCTCCTTGCCTGCACTCACGAGGGGGACCTGTGCTTACGCCCTGGGGATCAATATTTAAAGATTGGAGACAGGCTTTTCAGGCCCAGATATGCCGGAGCTGTCTCTCATAAAGTATAATCTGATGAGACTGACAGATAACACGGTGACTAAATGAGTGAATGAATGAGTAAAAGGTATCATGGGCTGTTTGAACCCACACATGGGAACTGGAGTTCTGGAGTAATTATCTTGCTTGAAGGCAAAAAAAAAAAAAAAAATCTACATCAGCTCCAGGAATGCAGACAATGAGTGACCTCGTGTCCACGTGAATGCTTCACACTGAGATAGAGGCAGCACAGAATTATCTGCCTTTGATTGAGGGCGTCTAAATGCACACACACACACACACACAGACACACTGGCTCACAGAGACATGGCATTTTAACCAGACATTCACTTCCTGTAATACGCATCTCAAATGTAAACACACAAGTTAAATCCTGCAGGATATTATTACAATATTACATACTGTTATCCACACTGACTATATTGCAGTCTAAACAGGCAGTTTTATAAAATCTATGTACGGTTAAAATCTTTTGATGAGGCCAGTAAGCAAGGAGGAGCAAATTACATTTTTTTCCATGAATTGCACTGTAGTATGTATGTAAATTTGAATGAATGCTGATTAGTCCAAGGAATGTACTGACGGCAATCAAGGAGACAAAAGGCATGAAGCACAAGGTTTTGTTTAAATGGAAGGGATCCAATCAGAGTGTAATAATGCAATCAATGGGAAGGCTTTACCAGATACTGAGAACATAATGCAGGGTAAATACATACATACATACATACATACATATTTAAATATACAGTGGAACCTTGGATTGCAAGTAACCTGGTTTGTGAGTGTTTTGCAAGACGAGCAAAACATTTTGATTCGATATACGAGCGAGGTCTTGCAATACGAGTAGTACGTACGCTTTGTCTGCCGGGCGTCACAACTGAGCCAATGGTTCTCGCGCTTCACTCATATAGTCAATATCTGTACTGCAACAATGGCCCCTCACGCCAGCCACGATTCTTTTCAAAGGTAAAATGCAGGTTAATTTGTTTTATTTTTACTTTATACTGTATTTTTATTACTGTAATCATTTTTATTTGGATAAGTGGGTGTGGAACGAATCATCTGAGTTTCCATGATTTCTTATGGGGAAATTCGCTTTGATATACGAGTGCTTTGGATTACGAGCACGTTGCCGGAACGAATTATACTCGTAATCCAAAGTCCCACTGTATGTATATCCTTGATGCCCTTTCTCTGACAGATTGCTAACAATCAGGATAATCAATACTTCAGTCACAGTAGCATGTACTTGGACATATTATGCCTTAATATTTGCCGGTAATGAAAAACTCTGCATGCAATGTGCATTTGAAGGTTGTAACATAAATTTCATACTCGCACACACATAGCAGACTTCAGCTCTACATTTAGTAATCTCAAAAACGTTTGACAAAGTAGGTCTTTTTCTCCACTGATTAAAGATTTACAAGCATCTTGGTAATGAATACTATTTCCTCTAACTGCTTTTTTTTCTGTAGCCTGAAGCACTTTCTAAAGCATGAAAAGCCTCGAGGCACAAAGAAATATACACAAGTTGTATGCTCTCTACTTAGCAGTGCATGCATATGCAGTGAATGCCATTTTCTCTCCTTTCCTTTAGGGGTCTATGGGAGAGCAACTGGCTTGTAAATGGCATTGTTATGAAAGCCAAGTGCCATTAACACTCACACATCCTGCCTCTGCTCAGAGCTTCGTAAAACGCAGATGTCGCTCTAAAAGAACCACAAGAAATAGAGGAGACAAAAATTTAAATAAAAAAGTGACAGACCATCGACCTCTAACAAAACAGTCTCCTCCTATTCCCAAAAAAAAAGAAGAAGAAGAAACAGCAAACTGTAATGTTAAGAGATGAATTAATGGCTTTTACAGCCGTAGTTGGAAGTCAACACGTACAGAAAAGACGGTGAAGGCGCCTCCTGCTGTGAATGTGTTTTCAAAGTCATCAGGAAAATAAGCTTGCCAATCAGTTCCAGGAACAGATTTAAAGTACAGTACAGAGGAGGATGTCATCGGGAACACTTCCTATCTACGATTTAATACCTATTAATTACTGAGGGAGCTCCATTGGGAAGCAGAGGCTGCCTGTATTTTTTGGTCTTCCACATTTAAAATACAAACAGTTTAATGGCAGTGCAGGCAAAAAAAAAAAAAAAAACTCCAAAAGGCATAGCACTGCTCTCAAATCAGACATACTGCACTCCAACACTAGGTCCAAAGACTGGCAAATGCACTAGGGAGCACTTTAAATATTTATATAGTGATTCACAGGACAGTGGGAAATACAAACAGTTTAATGGCAAGGCAGGCAAAAAAAAAAAAAAACTCCAAAAGGCATAGCACTGCTCTCAAATCAGACATACTGCACTCCAACACTAGGTCCAAAGACTGGCAAATGCACTAGGGAGCACTTTAAATATTTATATAGTGATTCACAGGACAGTGGGAAATAATAAATATTCACCTTCTCCTCATAGTGCCGGCCATGTTTGTCTGCTTGTAGTTACCTGGAGTAGCATCACTTTTCATCGGCATGGGGAGAAAACTCTCACGTTATCTGTCATATCATCTTGCATATGTAACCTGCCAGCAGCCGATTCAGTCCTGTCGGGTTCTCTCAATCAGATCAAGGCATCTTAACTTCAAATTACAGCAGACAATCTTCAGCTTCAGCATGGGGATTCCACAACTTGACAAGCTCATTGCTCAGTTTACCCTTGTGCACGGCATATAATGATTCCTTCATGTCATACAGCTGGAGGTGCTATTTGTTTGTTGCTAATGTAGCAAAAAAAGATGAATCGGCAGAGGACTAAAATCCCCTGACACAAAAGGGAATGGATATGTTCACTGAGAGAGGCAACTCCCTGAAAAACTCCCTATGCTTTTGCCAGCTATTTTGCGTCCTGTCTGGCTAACACACACAGCCTGCCTTGGAAAACAGCGTTGCTTTTCCCTCCAAAAGTAGCGCACACAGCCTCGAGGCTACAAACAATGATGTAATCCTGTAAAATGAGTGTAAGCAGCCCCAGAAATAGAAGGATACATTGGAGGGCCACAGACGGGACTGAGTCGATGTGAACCTAGATTCAGGTTACAAAATCTTCATTCTGTACTTCTCTGTTTATCTGGAACCAGGATGCTACATATAGTACAAGACAGTTCACTCAGGTTGGTTTTACAGCACAATGAACCCTGAAAAGAATCTGGAACAGCACTGTGGCCTGAAAAGTCATTTTACAATGAGCGTCTGCCACTTTTGGCTTAAACTACAGTACTTCTTTGTATTTCTTGTTTATGCAGATATTCTTTGTTGTAGAAGTAACAACAAAATGTTCTGATTCTGTTTGTCACATAATGTAGATGTTATTGTTATATAGCTGTTAGGAAAGAGAACAATTTAAACCTAGTTATTTTGGCCTACATTGATTTTACCAACATCCTTTGATTTCCCTTGTTTTCCTGTTCTTTCCTCAACAGTTTTGATACTAAAACCAATCAAAACACTGCAGCGAAGCTATCGAATATGGCCTGTTTATTGTCTGAAAGGACAAATATTCAGCTCTGGTGACTGAGAGACTCAACAGTGATTCTGTTATATTTTGTGTCTCTTTTCATAATTGTGTGAGAGGACTAGGATGAAGTCCAAACAATTTCACCAATCAACAAAAAGAAAGCCGCTGTACCAGAGTCAAATTCCTTGTGTCCAACACACCTGACCAATAAAGCTGATTCTGATTCTGACAAATGTGACCATGGTCTGCTGATGACCCCTTTTTGAGAACAGCCTTGGAGCCAGCACTCCTGCCCCATCTGACTGGTGGGCAGGTTTTCATTTGCTACT